AAGTGTTTTTAGAGCGTAAAAGGATATTACATGCTTTGAATTTTATTATAATCTAAACCGAATTGAATATTTCAGCTTTAAGTGAAGAATGCTTTCTCTAAAGTAGCAGAAAGACCCATTTTGTCCATGAAAGTAATTTTAATATTTTCCTATTTATTTCCAGTGACACAAAGCAGCTTATTATTTGTTAAGGTGTTTTTAAAACACTGAGATTTGAGCTCCAGTGTGAATGTGAAGTAGTTGATTTTAGAAGTTTTTATTATTAATATTTCTAGTCATGCTGTGTCTTTACTCCACACAGCCTGTATACCAATATTGATTTTTCATAGTTGTTTTTAATACTGACCTATAAAATCTCTTGTTTCTAACCTACACTGTAAACACATACAGGTATTAATCTATATAAGAAATACACATGATAGATACATTTTGCATTTATGTTTGAAAAATAAGACTTTTAAAAACATGATTTACTTATAGTCTAAGAAAATCCAGGAACCCTACACTCCAAAATAAACTTCTTTTTTGCAGACTTATTATACAAAATGAGCATAACTTTTTCTGATTATGATTAACAATAATAGTAATTGTATGATTTGTATGAATTGTATGATAACAATAATAATAAGGGACTAATTTCAGGGAGTCTCTTGCAAAAAAAAAAACCCCAAACTGATGTCAGTTTGACTGACTATATACTAGCAAAAAGATTTAATTTTGAAATTTCAATAAAATTGGATTTTTACACTTTGGAAAGGAGATTATTAATTCTTTTTTTTTTTTCTTTTTTTTTTTTTCTCTTTTTTTTTTTTTCTCTATTAATCATTGCCAGAATCTGGATAAATACCTTGTAGGACACTAGTCCAGCAGAACAGGGCTCCTTTAACAGCAATTCACAAGTGGGTGCCTCTGCCGTCTCTAACACATCTAAGTCTTTCCACTTTCCYTTATTCTCATTAAATACCCTATAAAAGAAAACAAACTTCCCACCAAGTAGATGCGCAAGGAAGAGTATGAGACCCAGGAAAATGCATCCCCTTGGTACACACTCCTTCCAGCCTCAGAGACGGCCTGGGCCAGTTTCTCTGTACAACATGTCTCATTTGACTCTTCCTCCTCTTAATTTATCATTTAACTCAGCAACATCTATGGTGAAAGGTCATATAGTTTAAGTGGGTGTCTTTTTTTGAAAAGATCTTTTTGTCAGATGAAAATCTGTACACCCTGATAGTTTCATATTTCATGAGATGGCTCTAAACCTGAACACTGCAAGAGAAGAGATCATGAACAACCTTTCCCTACTCCTCCATGCCTTGCCATTCCATTGCTTCACCAAAATTTAAAGCCTTTCTTTCAGCTTTGTGCATCTTTGAACTATGCAGCATTAGCCTTAGCAAATAAGAGCATTACATTCCAGAAACCGGAATTTATAAAGCACTATTTTATCATTTCTGTCATTATTTATTATTTTTAATCATTTCATTGTATGCAATGTGTTTCTGACTTCTTGTTTCCATGACAACTGAAGACATAGGCACATGTAAAAGGGTATGAAAGCAGTAATACAATAAAGACCTCAGCTTCATGAATTATGAAACTCCTACAATATGCCCTGGTCTTCTTTCACGCAGGCAGTATGTGTGGAAAAGCACAGAAAATACATCTTGTGTCTGCGTACATTTCTCAAAAGGAAGAGACACACAGTTCAACATGAGCACTCAAGCCTTGCACACTCTCAAGGTTTCTCCTTGTTTTACCCTCAAGGTTTCTCCTTGTTTTTCCCTACTGCTGCTATTCACAGTGGACCTTGAGCAGCCAGAATTAGCGCTGGGCCCAGCTCATGGAGACTCCGAGAGACTCGTCCTCTGCAAAGAGCCGAAACACTCCAAGCTGCAGGTAACTCCGTGCACTTTGAAGGACTGTACGTTGTGTAACCGCCCGCGTGATGGGGACCTTGCCCTGCAATCCTCACCTCACGTGTGATACCTGCCTCCAACCTTGTCAAACCTACCGGGTGGCTGAAACAGCAGCACCAAGGCACATGCACAGCCCCATCTGCTAGCGACACACAGTGAAATGCTGGTGACTCTTCACATGTGCTCTGAAAGCCAAGGCCTGCTTGGCTTTCCGAAACGTAGTTACCGAGTAAGACGATAGTGACATCAATATAGAAAGTGTAAATGATTTAAAAAACAGAATAAAGAAGAAACTAGAATAGTTCTTAGCTGAAAGATGGAGTAAAGGATAATGTAGCATAGGAATGTTTCCCCAGTCTGCACAGAGATTAGAGAGAAAATGAATACAACTATTTTTGCTCACTGTCCACTCATGCTTTACAAGCAAGTATAGAATTGCAACAGCATGTAATATGTATATCAAACTCACTTTATGTCATAAAGGTAGTGCACTCCTCATATCCATCTTAAAACAATCATCTTTCATGCATCTGTTTACATTGTCACATACAGTAACAGACCTAGAAGCTGTTTCCCTTTCTGACTCAACTCTATTAATCTTTATTTAGCTAAAATATCTAAGTTTGAGGCAGGGTGGAAAGAGCCTACCTCTATGTAGGTAGATCTTAACTCGCTACACGCCAGCCCGTGGACTTGAAAAATACAGGAGTTATTATTACCGCTACATTTCGAATCAATTCTTTTCTGTTGTGAGGCTCTCCTGAGCGCTGTTTGTCCTAAAAAAACCAAGACTCTCTCACAAGGCTATAAATAATGCATCACAGTCATTAAATATTGATCTGGCTTGTACCATTCACAGCTGCACAATTAGGTTAGCTTTTTAAAAATAGCATCCTGTATATTACACATCACAGGGCAATGTTTACATATTCTCTTTGGGAACTCTATTAGTTGAATTTAAAGGTGATGTGTCTTTGTRGAGCTGCTAGCTAAGTCACAGGACTTGTTCATTACTGTCTCACAAGGCAGCAACTCCTGCTATAAATATCCTGTCCTGGACCCAGTTCTGAATTCTTTACTCCTGCACCCTGGATTTCTATATTTGTCTACAAGATTACTATTTATAGGATGGAGAGCCTGGATTTCAATGAAAAGAGACTTGGCAATACGAGACAACTGTTTAGAACARCATCAACCTTAGATTAATTGGACTTCATTAATCTTATTTCAATACTACAAATGCTTTTAGCTAAATGCTGGCACTGCTGTGTGATTGGAAATAACAGAGTTCTTACTTTAACTCAAAAATACAATGGAGAAATTAAAAACTTTGTGGCAACTCCGAATTTAAAAATCATACTTATTTTCACCTACTCATTAAAAATAAGGGAGAATGGGTAGGGGTGTGATTCACTGGTGTGCTATTTTAACCTGTGCTGCCAAAGTGCAGGTGAATCTAGCAGAGCTACATAGAYGTAAGCGAGAAGTGCAGGGATGAATCAGACCCCAGGCTTCAGACACCATCAGATGTGCAAGAAATGTTTGCACTCAAGGTGGATTTTTTGTTTTACTTACAAAAGCCCATGAAAAAATAGGTTTACGTTTCTGCTCCAGATCTAGAGCAATGGCATCAAAAACCTACCTACCTCAATTAGGTAATACCTATCACATATCAGAAAATACAGGGAGTATTATGTGCTTTATATTAACTAACATACCTGATTTAATTATTATTAGATAGCCATTACAATTTATTTTTAAAAAAATCTAAGCTGAAAATTGTTTAGGGGCAAACAAATCAGCCCAAAGGCYTTAGTTACCCAACAGTAGTTGGGTCTAGTGTAGGCCAAGAGCCTGTAGTGAACAGCCTACATTAATCTCCTTTAGTTATTTCTATCAAGTATGCCTGTTAACACTGAATTCAGTTCACACTGAATCAGAATATAAAGCAAATTGCAGCAGGAATTTCATCTGAAATGTGCCAATAAATCACCAAAAGGAAGGGGGAGAGTTTTATCCAACACGCAAGGGGAGGAATTGTTTCTCAGCTAGTCAAGTCTAGATGACGAGCATCATATAACACAGGCTTGCACCAGCATTACCTGGATGACATTTAATTCATGACTGAAAGCAAGATAATTGGACAAAAAAGATGGAAAGTTTTCAGAAAAAAAAATCTAAGTGCAACTAGTTCAAGGATAGTTTGGTTATATTCCCCATTTCCTTGCCTGTGTCCTTTATAAAAATGTATACTGTAGATGTTATGAATAAACRCTCTTAATTTCCCTCTGTTTTACAGCCAAAGGTGTAATTAAATACCTGCAACATAAAGGGATAATGACAAGATACTCCTTTACTGGRAGACTGGCAAACCCATCAATGCCGACACTTGAGGAAACATGTGGAGTAGGTGCTGAAGGTGCCAGGGGCCGAGTGCCAAGGGCAACGCGGTGGCCCTGGAGYGGGAACACAGGCCGGGCAGCGGCAGCTGCTTCTGGTGGCTGAGAGCAACCAAGGCGGCCAGACAACCAGCAAGATAGCGGCCGGATCCTGATGATCACCGAAATTATGCTACAGGAACCTATTCCTACGTATATTAACATGCAACAAAATATAATACAATATTTATGGCCCTTTGCTCCTTTCTCCTGTCTCTCAAACGGACCTGTCTTTCACTCACCAGACATAAAATACAATTATTAAGCACATGGAAGTATCTTCTGYTGGCTGCAGAGTTGGAATGATCTTCAAGTATATTTATTTTGAGCAATAAGACAGTTATTTAATCATCATTTTACAAGAGGGTGGGTAACTGCAGCAATAAATGCAWCGACAGGAGAACATGACATCCTTGCTGCAGGTCCAGGCACAAGCAGCACTCTAAGGCACCACCACAAAACTGATCAACTGAGCAGCAATAGCTGCTCTGTCTCATCAACATCAGCTTTGCTGGGTCACCCATAGCTCTCCCTTCCACTGAGATCATCTACTTTTAGCATTAAAGTAAACTTTTCTCTGAGATAATCTAAATCCTTTTTAATTTACGGTTATATTTTCAGAAATAACTAAAAGTTAAATTCTTACCTTAAATTTGTCAACTTCTGCCTTTGAACATGTTGCATGATAAGATAATACCTGCCCCAGAACAAGAGATAAAAAAACATTTTTGTACATCTGACAAGCAGAAATAATAGGCCTTTACAGTGCAGTCTTATCAATAATTCTGAAAACATATTTAATTAATATTTATGGATAATAATTTGGTTTCAAATGTCAGCATATAATAATTAATTGCAGGTTATCAGGTATACATTTGACATTTACATTACAGGCAGTTTTATAGGGAACCATGGACAGAAAGTAATTTAATATTATAAGCATTCCCGCATTGTTCTCCTGAAGTTCTACAATTAGGAGAGAGAAGTTAATGTAAGAACAACTTTACAGACTTTAAAYAATGCCTTTTGCCATAATGTTGAGCTTTAATGTCTTTTCTTGTGGCACATCACTGCATGCAAATTATAGCACCTCTATCCTGTGCCTGACATTCCCTTCAATTCCCTTTGGGAGAAGGGTGCATTCAACTACCATGCCCGAAGGTCAGTAGGCRCCGTGCTCTCACACAGGAGCACGCACGCACTTAGGGACGTTGCACCGAGCTCTTGTGAGAGGAGGGAGCACCCAGCACAGCCCAGAGCTGCAGGTGGCCTCACGTGCGCTGGGCCCATCCAGGTTTTTCTTTGCACGAGGCCCTGGAGCACGGGGAGCAGTCGAGCGCTCCCAGCGAGGACAGGTCTTCCCAACTGCACAGCACCAAGCGGCCGGCCTGTGCTCCAAGCCTTTGACATACAGATTTCGCTTTGAAATTGCTTGAATCTATGAACATTCCTGTTTCTCATGCAAATACCGATCTCTATTTCAAATGCCCTTGACTTGCAGTATTTTGGGGCAATAAGTCCCAAAATGTATTTACTGATACTTCTTTTACAWTTTTTTTCTAATATGAATAGTCCTATTGACATTCATTCTTCATAACACAGGAAAAGGAAGAGAAAATCCTACAAAAGTAACAGGCAAGAAAATGAAACCTTTTCATCCATTTAGGCTGTCTAGTCTATATCTATTTTACATAGAAATGAGCTATGCTGGAATGCCAGAACCCTTCAGTATACACTGGCCTTAACCTCTAGCAGAGTCTTTAGTGAGCTGACAGCCACCCAGCTCTGACTTTATTCTAGCARTAGATGTATCTGAAAAGGGTCTAGCAGATGCTGTTTTTGATACTAAAATAAACTATAATGATGATCCTGCTTACGATTGTTTTTCAGATTTTGCCCTGTTCACTGTATGTTCTGCTTATTTTTACAAAATTAGAAAAACAACAAGCTATGTAAAATACATCCCAGGAGTTTTCAGTTATTGATGGATAAGAAGATACGTTTAACAGCTAGATTCGTTCCTACATGTGCCTGTGTAAGAAACTTRCTTCAAACTTAAGAAACCAGGTTAAGAAGTGAGCTTCAAAATTACTTAAACTGAGGGCAAGGTCTGCAGCTAAACGTACCCTGAGAAAGTTTCCCTTTAGTACTATTTCAATAAAACAGTATTCTAAGGTGTAGAAAGGTATATACAGGAAATGATGATCTCTACAACAAATTCAGAAGCAGTAGGTTCCTTTACATGTGATGAGCAAGAGAGGTTTTATTAAGATGTACACTTACATCAAGAGCCACAGACTGCTTCGCCCAGGATTTCTTCACTTGGTCATACATTATCGTGTTGTTAATGCCCAGACCGCAAAAAATAACAAAAGCCTAAAAGCAGAGAGGAAAAACAAAGAATTTGATTATAATACAGGCATAGATGAAAGTGGTCCTAGTCACTGAAAAGAAAGTGGATACAAATTCTAGGAATAATTTGGACAGGTTGCAAACCAATAGGTTTGGACAGGTTACCTACAGAATGCAGGGAGGTCACTACCCTGAGCAAGAAAAGATAAGATACAAGACTGTGTTTTAATTAGAATGCAACGTTATCAAGCGAGTCCTTCCCAAGGCCAGTGGCAGCAGTTTGTAAGGTCGGCTCTTCAAGGCCGGCCCGGATGAGGCCGTGGAAGAGCTAGGTCTCCGTGTGGGACGTCCCTGCCGGGGGTGCCACCAGCACCGTGTCCACAGGGCTGCACGCTGCTGCACTGGGGCGGCGAGCACAGCAGGAGGAGGAGGAGGAGGAGGAGGAGGAGGAGGAAGGGCACCCCACGGTCACCCCTCTGACCCCCTTAGGGGGTTCCTCCCCCTCAAGCTTTTTCATTCCTGCCAGCTCAGGACTCGTGCATTTTGCCAGCAAACAGCCACTTACTCCCACAAGCCGCTTGCATAACCCCGAGCAAGCGCCAGCCAGGGTAGCGGGAACCTGCCCTTTCCMAAGGGCCCGTTCCCGACGCTCCCAGCACGAGCCCTGCAGGGGCAGGCGGCACAGCTCGGCACAGAAAGGGCTGGCCAAGGCGGGTAGCACTTGGCAACTGAGGGGGATACAACACGGAGGGAACATTCCCATACTCTGACTCTTAAAAAAATACAATTAAGAACTGCCAAGGTGATTCATTGAATTGGGGAGCAGGGAGCTGCCCAGTCTGAGCAGTAAAGACCTGCCAAACACCGAGGCTGCTGGTGCACTTTGCTCTTTGTAAGAGACAAAGAGAGACTGCTGGCTTAACTTATTAAAGAGGATTAGTAGGATTAATAAAACAGAAAACATAAATTATAGCAATTTAGGAGCATGTTATCTGGGGAATACAGGACAATACACTTGCTATACTGGAATAAATAGCTCTTAAAAGAACCTTTTTATGTAATGCCCTTATTTTTCAAGCAAGCTGTTTTCCAGGGAGAACACTGAGCATACATACAATCTTGACATACAATCTTTTTTCTATTTGCAATTTGAGAGTCAAGGGGCCAAAATTTTACCTTATGCAAACAGATAATTGGCAGACCTGCAATAAATCACAGGTCCTGCAACCCAGAATGAACCCGATAGTTCTGTACTTTCATTTAAATACAGTAATTTTAACCATTATCACGTCTTCAAATATTATACAGAGATGGAAGACAAATATTCATTTGTCCTCATTTATTTCAGGTTCATTTATCGTACTGCTTTCCATAATACCACAAAAAAAAGGATTGTACAAACGTAATCAAATTATGATTAGTGAAATTGCTTAATTAAAAACRCACACACTAATGAAGCGTGTGTGTATCTGTGTACTTGTACACAGATATTTAGAGACAAGTACACCAGGATTCTGCACTTTGGTGGCAAGCTAAAAGAAATAATCAACTCTATCACCTCCCAGATAAGCAATGGTAAACACAGACACCTGAACACTAATAAGTGACACTTCTACAGCAACAAAAAGGTGGTACAAAAGATGCAGACCATAAACACAGATTAAGTATTCTTNCCCCCCCAAAAAAAATACAGCAGGATTATCCCAAAATATCAAATCCCGCTACAAAACTGAATGCCTCTTACCTCAAACAGTCGCTGGTCGGCATCATCAAAGGGTTTCCCATCAAGCCTGTTCAACACTTGAGCCACTCCTTTAGAAASAGTTAATATGAATTATAATCTTTACTCATTAGCTCATAATGCAGATTATATTCATTAGTAATATATAAAACTTATTTWTAAAACTAAAAAGCAAAATTGCAAATATTTGTTCTGTAACATACTAAGCAGATATTAGTATCTGAGATTCCGATCAATTTGAAACCAGGACTCAGTTTATAGCTTTCAACTGTTATTTTCTGTTTTGTAAGTGCAAAATTAGCAATTGAAAAATCTTTACTCACAAGGCTTTGCACAAATGCTTATACACCCGATTCTGCAGAGTACTCGAGCACTTTGCTAAGATCAAGCATGCAAGTTGTCCCTGTAATTTCAAGTCACTTGCATAATTTGTGGAATAAAATTGATTCCCAAATCTTAGTTAATTTATCACAATCTGGGAACGAAAGGACAACCCTGCCTTTCTTTCCCCCCATTATGGTTCATCCAATTTTGGTTGGATTCAAGAATTTATTGAACCAAAGGAAAAAAATGCAATTTCTTGAAACAACTTGGAGAGAGAAAGAAAAAAGTATTCAAAGCTGTTGGCTGTAGCTGTGTTAGCACCGAGCTCCGCTCCAACACCATTTCTCTTTCATTTAGCTACAACACAGCCYTAGGAAAGCGCTGTAAGAACCACCGGCAGCCGAGCAGAGCTTCCCTCCCGCTGCCACCTCGGTACCTTCCCTCTCAAAACCGTATTTTGACCGTTAAAGAGAGAAATGACCATTTTGCTGGACCGCAGAAACAAGTTGCCCAAGCTGAGCACAAGAAAGGGAGAGCCAGCAAAACCACCCCAGCACACCACACGTTTTACACTAACACTGTTAGGATTTCAGTTTTCCTCTCATTAGTCTTCAATACAATATGTAGCTTAACAGCGAACAATGGGAAAGCTGAATAAGGCCATATAGTATCCAAGTCAAAATATCCCTTCTTGGATACTTAGCATGCATCCTAGGTACCATAACTTCTTAACTATATTCAGCTGGGAAAAGGAAGAAAAAGGAACATGGAACTAAAAAGACAGAATTAAATTTACATTAGCACAAAAATGGCACAGCCATGAGGAACATCTTACCGATTATTTGGTGACTGCTATTCCATATGGGAACGCACAGGACAGACCTTATGTGAAAGCCAGAAATCTGGTCAGCCTAAAAGGCAGAAATGGGAGCTCCCATCAACGACAGCTTCTCATTTACAGACTTTGAAAGTCGAATAATGGGTATGTCAAGCAGGAGGCCCATAAGTTTACATTTACAAAACTCATTTAGAGTATTTCATTTAGAGTAGCTCAGACCTCATTCACGGTAGGTTTAGCTCAAAGTCACAAGGACAATTCTAAAAAAATGCCAAATACAAAAATCACCATCTCTGCTTCTGAGAATGTGCACTCTGACTTTACATGAAAGGCAAGCTGTGACTGTGTACATGTCCAGACAACTGCCATAAAGAGGTGCAACCTGGCAGGAAGTTGATGTGAACAAAAACAAGATTTGAGAATTTCTGTACAAATGTTATTTGTAGTTGTAGTTCTGCAGAGAACTTTGTGCCCTTTGTTCATTTTGAACTAATATAGTATRAAGCTTTGTATTTTACTATAAATTTAATTGATCCTTCATTTGCTATGGTAAATAAGCTTTATTCTTTGGSGTTATTTCTCAAAATCTCAAGAAATAAAATATTTTATCAAAAAAGATTTTAAGAGAAATTAAGAGAGTGGGATAAGCCTACTCAAAAAAAATGTCAGCAGATGTTCTCTTATTAAAACTGCTGATACTTAAGGCAATCTGTAACCAAAGTAAAATATCAGTGATAACTCACACACTCAGRCAAGGCAGGCTGGAATTACTGCGATCTCCCAGCTAGGGAAAGTTGCAGCTCAAGTTTTTGAGTGCTAATCCAAACATACATGGAATACGTCACTGATATCAGACTGGAGTGCCCCCTAAAATCCATATGAGAGGGGAGTAAAACTGCCCCATATGTATTTTCAAAAATAAACTTAATAAAAACAATTTGGCATTAAATTCTCGTGAATTAACTGGGATTTTTAAAAAGAAAAAAAAAAATCAAGCACCAAAACTTCAAAATGCCAATTAGTGTAGAAAAAAACAGCTGATGGAGAGTGTTTTTAGTACAGGCACAAACAGATGATGTTCATAACTTCAGCTGCACATTTTTTCCATCTAAGACATAAGGGATATCATGCTCCTCTTTCAGTACACCTGACTGTAGATCAATGACTAGCAACTGAATTTGAGAATTACATTTTCATAGGAACCTCCCAGCAGTAAATAATTACTGCCATGGGTATTAGGTGATTTGTTATTCCTTGTTTAAATTGGGCAGTGCCTGTAACTTTGAGAGGACTAACTATGAAATAGACATCAGAAGGCTGAATTATTCAGGACCTGACATACTAAAATCATAACTGCAAGSGCAGCAGGGACTGGCATCCTTCACTTCAGCACATCTCTGAGACAGGATAGAGTCCACAGGCACTAATCCTGTGTTCTAGAGTTCGGAACAAACTAGCATCAATGCAGACAAATCCTGCTGGTTTGACAGCTCTTCCTTGTAACGAGGCATGATAAAACTGGAACCAAGGAGTCTCGGCACAAAAGCACTTCCAAGCTCACTTCTTGTTGCTCCAGAGCCTGGGCTTGCTGCCCAGTTCTGCCAGAGCAACTGGTCAGAGCTGCACAAGTGCCCCCTGGTAGCTCTGCTTCACCAAGGAGTTCAGTGAAGGTTTTGTCCTTCCATATGCCTCTAATACGAGTTAGATGCAAGGCACGTGTATGCACTTTCATCTAAACCTACTCCTAGCTAAGACTGGAATGACTTGGGATGCACACACAATTTTTATTAGGAATGATACTTATTTTGAAGAACATTTTGCAGAATTACTGAATTAAAAGRGTTGGTTAAATCAGACTAAAACCAACATTTGTCTCTTAGATACTGAGTCTGTTGATGGTCTGTGTGCAGACAGTCCCCGTCACCCTGGCAGGTAACAGCACTGGCTCCACTAACACGGAGCAGCAGCAGGGCCATTTTCAGCAATAAGAGCCAGTTTGCATAAAGCTCAAGGCACTTCATACAYGGAGGTATCATTTATAAACCTGTGACAGAAAGCAACTGCCCATAGTTAGACACTGATTCAGTGACCTATGGTCACTCTATAAAGCCACACCAACACCAAAGATAGGACACACACCGAAGAGAAAACATAGTTCAATACAAACATTCACATGCTTTACAGTCCTCAAAATTTGACAATAAAAATCGTACTTCATTAGTTACAGTGCTAAAAATGGGATGTACATGAACTTTTGTAACAATCTCTCACTTCGGCATCGAAGCGGGGATCCTGGTAGGCGTCGCTGATGTTCACCGGGAGCCCCGTGGAAGCCACGAGTTCCGCCACGCTGTTATTGATGAGCCAGTCGGAGCACGACGGGGATTTCTCCACGCTGTCTTTGAAACTACCACACAGCCAGCAAGGGAAGGAAACATTACAGTCAGCGTGGCTCTAAAGCCCTGCTCGTCTTACAGGYACAATCACAAGGACAGAGCAGCTGTTCACAGTTATTACTAGTGATGAAGAATTATTTACAGAACAATGCTTTTTTTTYCCCCAAATAGTTCATGAAAAAAATCTTTCCCTTTCACTACTCTTTTCTGAAATAACCTTGGTCTACTGTGTAAATTAAATGCAATGCTCAGTAATGACAAGCAGCTACATATAAATCAAGAGTATCTTCTAGCTTTCCATGGGATATAGGCTTGCTCCCATTCTAAATAAGCAGACCAATCTAAATAGCATTCTTTGTAGAGCTACCTGAAAGCATATATTTTTAGATTTAAACTTTTCTAATTAGTGTAATACTTCATTTTAATTCTGCATGAATACTGCATTTTAATTCATATTTACTATGATTATTTGTCAGGTCAAATGCCAGCTCCTTGGTTTTGGTCTGTACCTCTTGAGCGGCTGGAGAAGGGATCACAGGACAAGCCTGGGAATCAACAAGGTGCCGCCGCGGAGCGGGACACAGGCACACAGAGCCCGGGAATGTTTCCCTTCTCCCCGGGCTGACCTCCTGCCGCAGCCCACGAGGGCTGCAAGGAACTAGCACASGACACCAGCATTTTAGGCTCGGCTCAGCACCACCTACCACAGCTTCTGCAGGGCACTCRGTACCTGTACAGCCTCTAAGGTCCTCGTCCTGTGCCTCATCTAGTTCCCTTCTCGCTGACTTACTGCAAACACGTTTGTGACCTTGGCAAGGGGTAGTTATTTATGTGCAAATAAATAATTCATGTCATCTCAGTTTTGAGGAGAAATTCAATTAATTTTCAATGCCACAGGCATATCTGYTCAGGAAGAAGGGCCTCTGAGCATCCATGGAGAAGCCTGCAATGGCTAGAAACTTAAAAGCAATGTATGAGAATGGAAGAAGGTGCAGGTAGAGTTGTCTGAAGAGTCCATCAAGGCGAAAGGTTTTTTTTTTTTTTTTTGGCTGTATTTTTTTTCCTGAAGACTAATTCATCTAAGTTGCTCATTTAAAAGAAAACTCAATATTCTTAGAAGACTACAGAGATGGTAACAATGATTTACATAAAGGAATCTCAGTGTATCAACTTTCATTTAGAATAAGAATTTTGAGAAAGTGTAATAAATGCTATGCACACACTGTGAGAGGAACCTATATTCAAACACAGCATTCTTGAACTGAAGTATAAAAATTCATCTGTATAATCTAAAAATTACTTTAGGGTGTCAATGTACTAAAGAAACACGAATTATTCAAAGGTAGAATTTTCATTATAGATGTATAGCTTTTAGTGCATATCTTAGGAAAAAACAGCCATAAAATTATGAGAGATACAACATAAACAGCAAAGACTGAAATTTGAATGATGTGATTACATGAGAGATTTTAAATCAGGACTGGATTAGGGGTGTCAAGCATTTTAAGTGGCAAATTAATTCAAGTTAAATAATCAAGACGTAATTCAARAAGAAGTTTAAAGGCACATTCTACAGTGCCACCTACATCTCTAGCAATGCTTTAAGAACCACATTGAGGAGAGACCCAACTTTCAGTGGGAGGAAATATCAGTGTTTAATTCAGAGCTAAACTACAGCCTGCTGGCTCAGGCTCCATCCTCTGCAGCTCAGAACAAACAGAAGTTACTGAAAAAAAAAAAAAAAAAAAAAAAAAAATCAGAAGCAGCATTTTTTCCCATACTATGGGAAGCCCTGGCTCCGGCTGCACTGATGCAGGCGGCTTTAGCCACCTCCTCCCGCCCTGCAAGGGCGGCAAGGGCCAGAGAAGCAGCAGAATTTGCTCGTGGGGCTCCGGGGGTGCTGCAGCTCGTGTGGCTGGACCCACATTTCAGCACTTTCTGCAGCAGCCTCGCTGGGAGGGAACGTGGATCTCCTCCCATGCTGGGATGGAAGCAGCCGACCTGCCCTGATACTCGGTTGGAGAACGCGGATCCCACGGGGGCACCCGCCGGGATGACGGCTCTGCAGGGAAGACGTGGCCCACAGCAAGCTCCCCCCGGCTCACACGCACCCACAGCACCTGAGAACAGAAGCCTCAAGGCTTCTCAGATCAACATGAATACAATACAGAGGAATATTTTTTTTGAAGATAGGGCAAATTTAAGAAGCAACTTGAAGAACTAAATGGCTGGAAAAAAAGAATGAAAGCATCAGCATACTAACATGGATGGGAAGTGAACTCAGTCGTGGCAAGTGCTGCAAAGGGACAAATTATACACACACATCTACATGGGGTCTCACAAGGTATTTCTTAACAAAAAGAAGAAAAGAAAAAAATATTAGGTGTACTCATCGCAATGTTTAAGGAATTATCAAGCACATGGCAATTGCTTCTAAAACCAAAGAGAAAACGTCTTAGATTTTGGAAAGATATACTGGCTTTAAAGTTTTTTTCCCCCCTCCTCTTTCAGATAAAACCTCATATAACCATTCTCTTTTTACAATTCCCCTAGTTTTCCACAAAAAAACCCAAATAGTTAATATTTATCTTAACTGGAGTAACAATGAAGGAATAGCACTTTATGCCACTTTAATTCACGTGCAACATCTCATGACTTCTCATCAGTTGTGTCAGCAGAATCTAGAGTGAAAAGGGCACAACTCACTAGCAGGAAAATGCTCAAATGTCAGGGGCTCCAGGCATTCTTCTGTATCCTAAATAACCTTTATTTTCCCACCATAGTGCCAATAACACAAGCTGTGCCTGTGCTAGTTCCAAACGTGATGTCATATCTGCCAGTCTACACTTCACTTTCGTAAAACTAACTTTGTTCTCCACTGATTGAAAAATGAAAGGAAAGCAATATATCTTTATACCAAGGTATACAGAAATATAACTCTATAAATCTTTTAAGACTGGCTCCCAGTTGCATATGCATATCCATGTGTCTCGGTAAGCACAAGTTGAGCACATGCAGAGCAGGCTGCTAAAACCTGCTTTTTGTTAACACGCTAATATAGCTATGGTAACGAGGAAGGAGCCAGCTTGGTTATCTTGACACCACTCTACGTTGTGTTGACTAATCTGGCTATGGATCAAGTTTGTGAAAAACAGAAATAACAATTAACAACCCTTGATTCATATTGCTGTCCCTGGGCAAAAGGAACCTATTTTCATCCACTTAATTGAACCAGGAAGGAGTAACTGTTGCACTGAAGCGCTTGGTCAAAAGTGGTAGCTTGTGATTCCCAGATGAATCAGCAGATTATTTATTCATATTTAAAGTTTCATATATATACACACATTTTTGAATCCCGTGCTTTCCTTTTCCACTTTGTCTCCCACTTGTCTTCACTGAGGGGACAGGGCACAGAGGAAATTCCACTCTGCTCCTGGCTGGACTCTGCTGATAGGCTGCACATCTTACAAATGGAGCTGTCTGGTTTTCTAATGTTGTGAGCTTGCTCCATGACAAGCATTACGAATGATGAATTACTGTAGTCTGCTGCACAATGTACATATCTGCCTTACCACACTGGAGATGAAGATACACTAAAGAAGGAAATTTTTCCTTCAAGTTTTTTCAAATACTACTACTTAAAGGGCTTAACTATGGAGAAGCACTAAGCAAGCTCCATGCCTGCTAAGCTACTGATACCAGGATAGAAAAAAGTTAGATTTATCATTACAGTAATGGTTCTACATGGAAAATTTTAATTCAGATTTGATATGAAACTAGGTTGCATGTAATACAGTATGCAACAACCACTGAGTTTGAACCCTATGACAGAAACCTTTGAAGAACAGCTCTGAATATTCGTCCCCACACTCCGTGTGCCCTTCTAGATAAGCCCATTACATTCCCTCGTAGGAAGATAGCAACCYCATGAAAAGACTAAGCTCTTAGTACCACCTGTTACAGCTAGCTTTTTAATCAACGCTTAAGTACATATCAAACTAAGCTAAATATGTATTTTTGACTGGGCTCCCAGACAAGATTTAGTCAGAGTCTCTGAAAAAGGCACATTCCCTGGGGTTCACAGGCCTTGCAGCTTGAGACTAGAGGGAAAAAAAAAAAAAAAACAAAATCTTACTGGAAACCTTTCAAACACAACTCTAAGGGGGCACTTTGTACGACAACAGTCTAAAATTATTTTATTTTACTTCAGCACTAACCACRCAGAACATCTGCATGTTCTCCCTGAAACCAGCATCCAAGCACATCAGTTGTTTCATGGTTTTGTCTCCAAGATACTCATACAACATTAATATGTAAATACCAATATTAGCATGGATGTTCATTCAAGCCGTACTGCACTGAAGCTGAACATGAGTTTTATCTGAGTAAAAGCTCTAGGCTCAGGCTGTCTCAAACCTACTCAAAGTCCCATACAAAAACATAACTAAGATCAAACATATTTAAAGCTATGGTGGGGGAAGGAATCAATCTATTACCATAGAAAACATGAGGACTAACCTGTTCTCAGCATCAGCACTGCATTTGGGAGATAACAGTTCAAAGGACTTGGTGAATTTCACCACCTGTCACATAAAAAGAAAAAAAGGATATTAAAATTGTTATTCAAAATGCTACGCATCTACTAAAATAGTAGTATCAGGTTCTGACATTTTTATGATTTCTTTTTATCTTGTGATCTTAAAATAAAATACTCTTGCAACAGAGAATTCATGCTGAAACTATCTTCTATTTGTAGTTCATATAYAAGAGATATCCAATCACTTCATATTTTCAAGCCTCCTTCATAAAACCTTTTTGCAATAGAATGTCTTTTTCCTTCAAAGGACTTTGGAACATAAATTATGAAACTTGATCCATAACTTCTTTTTTTAATATATAAACAGGAAAATAAATAGAAATATCTATTTACAGTATTATCCAGTTTCTCCTGAACATGTGGTATTGCCTATCTGCCTATGTGCCATGCCTATCTGCCAACAGCAGTAAATACACGTGCAATTTAAAACTGGCTAAAGTGACACACAGAATCCAGATAATGTTTTTTGGATGCTAGGGGTGATTCCCTATATTCCACTTCAAATCTACATTTTAAAATGTTTTCATATGATGCAAATTTTAGATACAGCTTAAAATTGATAAACTCTACCCAGATATATTTTGATATATATCTCGTACTCCAAATCAAAGAAGAAAAAGAAATATTGTTGACACTTTTTTAAGCTTAACTGGTTATTTCAGCTGACCATATTCCAGGATTTGGAATGAGGCTTGAGGTCTCACTGCCTGGGTCCAGAAAAAAAACTCTCTTCTCAAAGGTAGAAATAATAGTAACAGCAGGAGAAAAAAAAATAAAAGCAATGCCATTCATAAATTACTACCAAAATAATGTGCTCTTTATAAAAAATAATCCTTATAATTGAAACCATAATAACATTCCACTGAAACATAGTAGGAAAATATCTTATAACTATAAAATCATTATGGGGAGTCTAAAATGGGAAAATAAAATAAAAATTCTGTAACAGAAAATATAACTGAAAAATAAGGTTGATACAGCTTTTATGAATACTAGTATAATTTAGGGCATACTCCACTAAAATTAATTAATTTCTATTCGTGCAAATGAAATGAGAATTGTAACTTTCCTCCAGGAAAAGTAATGTTTTTTTCTGCCTTACAGTCAGACACATCCACTYGTGATCGCCTCTCTGATCATCATTTAGACACACAACCTTACAACAAATAATCAATTACGGAGTCAGTGAATCCCAGGGTATTTGGAGAGGTATTATAAATAACACTTTTTATCYCTCACCTATTTTTTCAATCAATAGAAAGGCTGATAGCTTATTTGTGTTGATTAGCCTCAAAGCACAAGCAGGGGCTACAAATAAAAAGACATCCACTTTCTTCATAATAACGATAACCATGAAAATGACAATAATGTTAAAGATCCGTAAGGAAATTGTCAGAAGTCTGTGAATAGCAGCGTTACAGAGTCCCAGTAAAAGCCCAAGTCACAGCTGTGCACGAAATCTAACTCTAGCTAAATACTTCCATACAGAAGTATTCCATACTGCCTCAATCCATTCACCCAACTGAGCTTGGCAACAAAATAATTATCCCTTGCTCAAGTGGACACAGAAAATTGGAAAATAACAAGCATACAGGAATAGTGCTGAAAATCTTGTTTGCTCTTCCCCTGCTCAGTGCGAAAATTCACTCCCATACCATGAACAAATAAGTGACTATCTAGCCATTTGTATTCAAATCTCTTTCAGTGGGTTTTCTGTCACCTCAGGGAACAATTACTAAGGCAAAATGACAAGAGAACTGATCTTTTCACAGCATTTTCATCATCTGGGAACTGAGACCAGTTCTCATTATTTAGTTTACAGAGTGCTTCCCAAAGGTATTAAAGGAGCGTGTTAAAATGTGCAACATAAATAGAGCTGCTCCCAATCATACCTCACCAATAGCTAGCGTGAACAGAAAACTTTCAGGAAGGTGCAAATCCCAACCAGAAACTGCTGAGAAAATTCCCTGTGTTACAAGTTCAACTCTTACCGTCTTGTTTTTCCACCTACAACAAAATATTGGATTTCACACAAAACATCCCTGAGATAAGAGTTCACAAGCGGGCGATTATGAAAACATGATTTGATTCCTGTAAAGCTCACTGAGCTGCTGAATAGAGAGGATGGTCAGGTAAGAAGGGCCTTGGTAAGTTTATTGTTATCTGTTATTTCTGAGGGACCAGTAATCTGATAAAAGATGTTTATGTGAAACCAAAATGTTACACACTAGAATAGAAACTACATTGGTATTTCAGTGTGCTACATCTAAACAATAACAGATCCAAAAGAATGAACACTGTAGAAATATTAGCAAGGGTGGTTGATAATTWCTTACTGAAATGTAAACGGAAAAGATGATTTCTAAAAATAAATATTTAAGATTTGTTGATGATGCAACTGTTTTCAGTTCTGAAACCACCKGCAACACACACTTTATATGACATTAGCCTGAAAACATTAGCAATGTTTTAAGTTCTAGCTAAATCTAACTGAAGCTACAGAATGGGTATCTCTTCCCTTCTAGTGGCTATGCTATGAAAGAGTCTAGAAAGTAAACATTTGATAACAAATCAGGTAATTTTTCTATTCTAAGCTGACCTTTTTTGTCAGTTTAGCTGCCCCTAGCTGCTTTGTATGCGCTAATTGCATCAAGAACCACAGGACATCAGCTGGATCACACCACTGGCAGTCAGATCCATCAGGAACTTACAGACATCCCATTAACTGCCTTTCAGTAAGCAAAAGGAATCACAAACGTAAGCTCTGGTTTCCCTTTAAAAAACAAGGTTGATTAAGATTTGACCGGTACCTAATTTATATTTAAGAACTATATGCTGAAGGAACACTCTCTGTCCAACACTTATGCATGATACAATCAATAAAAACAGCTGTTACACTGCTCATATGCTAAAACCTCTCTGAATGTGAAGACAAACTTACTGGAGACTCGATATCTTCCAGAAGCAACACTGAGCACCGCTCGCACTTCAGCAGCGTCTGCGCCCGATGCATGATTTTCTTGACGATTTTCTCCAAGTCGGTCTGTTCCTCAAAGAGATCATTCACCACTTCCAACAAAGCCTGTAGACAAGGACAGAAAATTCTTGTTTTGCTTGTGGAAGGAATAAATAAGTGAAGAAGAGCCACGGAGGCGCTATCTTTGCTCTTGATTTTAATATGATGGYCCTGACATGGGCACCATGGAGCTGCCCAATGGCACTGACCTTTGCTRTGCCTCCCATGACAGAAGCAACAAGAGCAGGGAATACGCCTCTTTCTCCCAGTTTCCTGAGGTGTCTGTCTGCCCTCAAGGATTTACCATTTCATAATGAAGAATAAGAATGTACTTAATAGTTCTCTGCCAAATGCCTTCCTCAAAAGATTAAATGTTGATTCCTCCAAGGTCTGTCCCCTATAGGCTGGGAGTTTGTAGTAAATTTTAAGTGTCAGAGTTGTCAAACAATCACTTTGTTTTAACATCAACTAATAATAATAAAAATAGTGAAAACTAACTTTGGCAGAAAATTCTTCCATTTCACCCCTACCCCTCACCCTGAAACATAGTTGTTCGTAGTCAGTCTTAAAGAGAAGACAAGTTAGAATATTTCATGACTATCAAATCTATACACTATACTACTAAGCTATTAGAAAGGGCTATTCCTAGTGTTTGAAACAGTGGAAGGCACTAACTTCCATATGTGGAAGGCGCCAAATTCCTGAACCTGAAGTGCCGTCAGTGTCATACCGAGAGCTGCAGTTTGCCAGGTTACAGAGGAAGGGCAACTAAACACGACAGATGGTYGTTGGACTGAAGCTTTGTGGGATACAATACGTAATAACAAATGCAGTATATGTCACTGCAGGAAAGGCTATTAAAAAATCCAATAGGTAGAAAAAAAATCCATTTTCAACAGTCCATTTTATTTTAAAAACTGTTGATAAATGAACTTGAGCTCAGTATTACTTTCACTTGCTCACAGCCACCTGCCCCAAGTCATGCATAGCCTCAGCAACCACGAGTATCTCATCTATGCAGACACAGGCTGTCAAAACCTTTCATGCTCACGGGTTTTGCTTGCTTACTTTTAGAAAGACATATCCACATTATCTGCACATGAATATAACAGATCTAGGATGCCAGAAGTTTGATCTTTCTGGCATTTTAAAGAGATATTGAATCTGTGGCCATGTAACTCTACGGCACAGTGTCTTACAAACACAACTGTCTCAATGTTATATAACAAGAAGTTGACCCCAGAAAACAACAGCTACCACCAAGAGCACATTTACCACCTCCTCGGCTTGCTGTCTGAATCACATGCACTGTCTGTTATCAATGCATTGTTTTGAAACATAACATAATTAAATAAAAATGTCTGCTTAACAAATGTATGCACAGAACTTGAATCTGAAGGAACAAAAATGTTTAATATTGGTCCAATATACATTTTTACTTACCCTGCTTCTGTCATATTCCTTCCTTGAAGCTGCAAACAACTGGGCGTTGGATATGGCAATCCCACAAAACGGGAGGTACATCTGCATCACCTAGTATCAAAGGAAACTCCCAGTCACTAAAAACAAGTGCAATTAGACACTCTCATCTTCAGTCATGACATCTAAACTCCAGTTGCATCTCACTGGAAAAATCTTAGCCCCCTCATTCTTCAGCAGAACATGAAATGAAGCAAAAATCTCATGTACAAAGCACATACAATGGGAGGAAGAGACTGAATAGGAAGGACAGAACAAACCCATTAGAGTTTGCAGAGCCCAGCAAGAAAGTTGTTCAATAGCTTGTCAATAAAATTGCAAAGATTCTCAAGCCTAAGAAACTGTCTGCCGAGGACTCTATTAAACCACYGCACCTTCTCCAGCAAAAGGATTCTTTGTTATTTTTCTAGACTGCTTCTGTCCTAAAATCTGAAGTAAATAATAACAGAATAGCCCGCTGGAGGCAGTCACAGTCCTGCTGATTTCCAGGGGCACTTACTGAGCAGAAGAGGAGCACAGTGGAACACGGCACCTCAATCTCAAACTACTGATGAGAAGCCGGTTCTTTTCCTCGGGAYAAAAAAGGAGGAGCTTAAAGAGTATGCTTGAGAAAGCACAACAAAAAAGAGAAGAAAGGTAAATTAAGTCAAAGTGATTTAASAGAGGAAGAAATTACAACTTTCATACCCAACGAACATTTGGGAGCCTTAAGAAAGGCATCRCTGTGAGTTAAGATAGAGACTGGAGAGCAGGGACTGGCARAACATTTGGAGAGGCACAAGCTGGCCACACGTTAGGCTGGCTCTTGGCATGAAACGAACTATTCTAGTCCTGTACTGGATTATTTATAGAACAGCAGGCAAGGCACTTTTCACAAGCACAGGAGCGGCCTGGGGACCCACAGCACGAGCAGTTTTAAGCTACGCCCCGATAACAAGTCTGCAATATCCCTGATTTGTGGGATATTTGAAGAGATGCAGAGAAAAAGCTCCAATCCGTTTTGATGTCTTTGGGCTAAACGGGCACTGAAATAAACTTCACTGAGATAAGGGAGAACTTACTGGCAAGGAAGGTGCCGAACAGGTTAATGTCCCAATGCCAGGCTTGGTTATGAAGTAAAGGCTTAATAAAAATAACACATTCCTGGAAAAGTAGGTTGAAAACTTGGCATCTTGGAGAAGCTCCCACAAAGAACCTCAGCAAAGGCTTTAACTTTGTGGAGAGCAGTAGTTAAGCCAGTCAAATACTGTACCACTTTGGCAGGAAAGAAACTAAAAGTAATAGATCCCTCAGGGTGGATCATTCTTTATAAGAAGAATTTCCCTGCTAGAATTTGCATATTTCAGTTTACATTGTATTTGCAAAATGAAACAAAATCCTATTTCAACTTGTAACAGCACTAAATGCCATAGTTAAGTGACTCAGWGACCTAAGTAAGTGACAGAGCAGCAGAACTTGCCTCAGAGAAAGATCTTTTCTTTAATGCAATTTTAAGTATAATACAGAGGCAGAATAAGACTTTACTTGTATAAACACTAGGGACTAATTTAAAAATGAAGSCTGCTCTCATCCTGGGTCTCCTTGTCCCCAAAGGAGCGTGGCATTGTGCCAATGGAAGGTATATGAGAAGCTTGCGAACCTTTGACCATCACAGAAAAGCCCGTGCATAGACTCTCTGTGCAAATGCACAGCCAAGAAACACTACTTTACAAACTGCCAGAAGTCTGGAATACTGTTGACTTGCATCAGTGGGGAGGAACCAGCTCAGTTACCCCGGTTTGCAAGAGAAAAACTGACAAAACAGAAGCCGAAACTGCCATTCCTCCTCTGCACTTTCTGAGCTGCAAGGACAACCGCTGCTCAAACAGCCTTCGGCAAAGGGTAACACTGAAAGAAAAGAATAAAGGCAGCTCTAACAGTAACTGAATTTCAAATAAGCTTTTTAATCCGGAATTTCAGAAYGAAGTGGCAAGCAGTTATCACATTCTGACATCAAATTGCTAAATTAAATCTGCAGTACTCAAGGCTGCTTCCTGATTTATGTTGTAATACTCGCAGAGAAGAGAGGTCTCTGCAGGCCCCTCCAGCACGTTGACGTTATCTCTGCACAAATGAGAGTCCACAAACACGTTGCTTCCAACCAGTGCGAGCCACTCGCTGCAAGCAGCTCTATCTGTGGCCAGGTACAGCTCAGGGGGCTTCTCCCCAAAGGGAGCACAAAGCCTTGTGGAAATAGCACATACTGCCTTTAACAGGATGCTTCACTCTTCCCCCTTCTTTTAAGGGATGGGTACATAACTATGGATCCTCTGGAGATCCAAGGGAGTATTACATCAGTGAACCTTAATGCACTGCTATTCCATCCCTATTCCTGCCRATTATTACTCTTTTCTTAAATAGAAGAATATAATCTGTAAAGCAAAACATTTTTTAACATTTGGATTTTCCAGCATGGAAATATTTCATCGCTAAAACACTGATTTTTGGTTACAGTAAGTAAACCAGGCAGGAAGAACACCCGGTGTAAGAGGAGAGCGCCTCGGTCGCAGACACACTGCTGAGCAGCACATGCCAGGAAAGGACCCGGGTATAAATTACACAGGTATAAATTACACGGGTATTTTAACTGGCTCAGGGAGATGGGACCTTGCTAGGAAGGAGCCGTTTCCTCCCTGTCTGCTGCTCTTTCTACAGCGCTGGACAGGCCAGGACGGCTGCTCACCAGCGGACAAGGTCTATGCAGGTTGTAACCAACTGTTTTACTACAGAATCAGCCCAGCCCTGGGCTGGGACTGGGAATACGGGCTGGCCAAACAGCTTCCCTTGCACCGAGGCACAAACAGCTGGGAAAACTCTTGGGAAAAAAAACGCACACCCTTCCAAAAGGTGTAACACTGTTTCCCCTTCCTATGCTGAAAGTCAATTTTAAAAACAACTTTGAAGTAAAACTGAGTATATCTGACGGGAAGTGTCTTCCCATACCTAATTTTCACTAATGAGAGCAAGAAATGCAGCATATTTATTGAACAATATAAATTGTAAGGAAAGCAATAAACATGATACAAAAATATCAAGCATAGAGCTTTGCCAGATGCACCTTGTTTATGTTGGCAAATAGATCAAGTGCAACAATTCATCATGCTACTGCACACTATATTAATAAATCAATTAAACAGTAAATACGTAATAATAGATTTTCAACTAATCTAATGAATATGCTGAGATGCTCAAAGAGTCCATCACTCTTTTTGGTGCTAATTCTAAGACATTCAGAGGAGGCAAAAGTATAATCCTGCTTCCATTTAATTACTTGGTACCTAGGGCCTACGTAGCTGGACATGGTTTCTCCCACCTAACCCTCYCAACAAGTACAGCATCCTTGGGCAGTGACTGCACCACCTCAGAAATTCTCATCTGTACTACGTTTTCTATGCCAGCAGGAAACAAAAATACACAAAGATGATGGAGCGATGAGCACCAGTTCAGCATCTCATCCCCTTCATTTCTAAATTCTATTATTTGGTTAGAGGATTATTCTRTGCTAGGAGGCCTGAAGCACAACTACCACGAGAGGAGGCAGGGTAAGTTCTAGAAGCTGCAATATTCAATATCTTCACAGATGGTACAAATAGCACATCACCTGCTTTGCTCACCCYGCATAGGAATGCAGGCTTTAATTGCAACAGCTCAGTGGTTTTTTGCGTGTGTGTGTGTGTGTTTGTCACTTAATGACCCAAGCAATGAAGCTGCAAGTTTGCAGACCTGCAATGCAGAAAGTTTCCAGCTAACCATAAACGAGTCCGTGCAGACCCAGCTCTCACTGTGGAAGTGGGTGGCAACCTCACRTGCGCCACCCGGGTGCATGTTAGCCCGGGACAGCTAACAACATAGCCATACGTTGCATATATAACCCAACATATTGGGTATGTAACAGTATACCCAATACAGCTAGTCCTAAAACAGCTAGCTCACAGCCACCAACACGCTCCAAGCATCCCCCTGTCTGCAGCTGTAAAAGACACCGATTCTGATGCCCCTCAACAAGCCTGGTTTACCCAAACTGGCACAAAATCTGAGTTAACCTCTCAGCTTCCCTGGTTCAGCTGGGTCCTCGGGGCAGAAGGAGCCACTTCTTTAGGCAGCTTGCTATGCCCCTGTGGTAGGGCTGCAGGAAAGGGATGTGGTACAGGCTATAAAAAAGATTTTTGCAATAGCCTGTCATCAAAAATGCTTTAAGAACATACTTAAAGCCAAGTCAGGGAAGCCAGCTGCCCATTTAAACATCTCCTGAACAGCTAAAAATAGGTTCAGTGAATGCAATATTTCACTGAATTCCGGGAGCGAGAAGGCAACGTCAATGGCAACGTGGTTAAGCCCGACCACGACCCCAACGCCACTTGTCCCGCCGGCTGCGCAGCGCCCGGCAGCCTCAGCCGCGCATGAAACCCCATCGCAGCCCGGCTTCGCAGYTCCCAGAAACACCATCCCAGATTATTTTTCCACCCCGCTTACAGACCAAACCGGTGCTTTGCAGAGACTGCCCATGAATTACATGCAAGCAGGCTGGGCACGTAACTCCTACCTACATCAGCAAACCTACAGAGGCTCCTGGTGCAATTCTTTTATTAACTCYAACATTTCATCATTTAATTTTTTTTTTTAAATTGCCATGTGCACGTGGTTAATATTTATGCAGTGCTGTAAAAACACACTAGTGCTCACTAACACAAGACCACCCCTTTGTTCAGCAAAACCGCCCATCTGAGCGGCGGAAGCCTTTGGTCTCCGCAGAGCCTCGTTGCGCCCGCGGGCACCAGCGGTGAGCGCCGGCTCCGCGCCTGGCTGCCTCGTGCTCCCGGTGCGTAACTGCACCACCACACACACCACAGCACACATCTCCTGCGGGAAGGGGCTCGCTGCAGCTCTCCTGACCACCTCCATGCAGGTCACTGKCCTCGGGAGCCGCAGTGCTGGGGGACCTGGGCGCAGGAAGGGGCACGGGCACCACTGCAACAGCCTCAGCCCTGGCCCCGACCCTCCTCCAGGCTCCCTCA